ATTTAGGATTTTTTATTGTTACTTTATACCTTATAGAAAAGTTAACACAATAAAAAAACTGTTACGTCTCAACCACTTGTCTAAAATCTAACGGATCCGTTTTTTACTCCTACTCGTATTTTTCATAAAAAAAATAATTATCTACCAGGTACCCGGTACCAGGTGCTCATATTCCTTTTGGTCCCTTTGTATACACCTGAATCTTTTCACATACAGTAGTAGGTACCCTTCGTTACATTTTTGGCACAAAGGCTGCCCAAACAAAAGTGCTGCTCTTTTATTTGCTGATTTCTTTATAGGAAAAGGAAATTCAGTCTTAAGTTACAGTTACACAAAACGCGTAGATTTGCAGTAAAATATTGTTACAAAATGTTTATAATTGATGATAAAATATAAGAAATTGTTCTGTACAGGGTAGGGTGTCCCATTAATGAGTAATTACTAGATATTTCAACTCGCGATTCATGTATAACATTATTTATAAATTATCGCGGTTTATTATTTACATTATTATAATTATATTCATGATAAAAGAGCACTAAGTTAAGCTTACAAGTAATAATGAAAAAAGTAGTATATGTATATATACGCAAAACATCTAAAAATTAATTTTAAATTTAAAAATGCAATTAAAATCGTGCTACAGCGTTCCAGAATATCTGCAAGACCTACTTAAACGTTTGTCTTCCAATTGTTTACATATCTATTTTTATTATTTTTTAATTTTACCTTTGTTTAAAGTGATTCCAAATTTTAAACTATGTAAACCTGACTTGTTCTATACTTTTTTAATGTCTAACCTAGCCAATAAATATTATTAATGTTAATAAAAAATATTTTAAGTTGTTAGTTAAATTTTCTCTATATCCGCAACAATTGCTAGCATCCGGCAACGCCGTACGGTGTACGACAGTGGTCCACACTCTCGTCTCCGTCCCTTCTGGTGGCGCCCCCCCTGCACCTTGCGCCATGTGGCCAACATAAACAAAGCACATTACGCACGCGGGGGTCGAATCAGCTGTGCAGTCTGCTGAGGTAAGACGGCGCAGTCGTAGTGGATTTCGTCTCGCCAAGAGAGCGCGGCGTTGCCGAACGTCGCGGAATTACGTGCATCGGAAGAAAAGCTGTTTTGTTAGATTTTTATTCATTCTGTGTAGCATTTTTATTCAGATAAAACTAAAATAAATAAGAACTGACACCGAAGTGGTTGACAGACGTAATTGCAATCTTAGAGCGTTTGTATGTAGAGTGGAAACTCAATTTTCTTCTGAAGTATGTACTGAAAATAAATGGAATTCTAAATTAATGATCAATATTTTAATTTAGATCTGACTAAGTTAAAATAAACAGATGTTAGTGCTGATATGTTTCTGATATTTTTACAATTACTGCAAATAAAGCCATATATATATATAGTATGTTGATTTTAATTTATATGCATATTAAAAGTTAGTTGACTATCAAAATGAACTTCAATATCCCTAATATTTTCAGTGCTATAATTAAAGATTTAATAAGTGAAGTATAACCAGAAAATTATATGATTTATTGATATTTAAGGCAACAATATTGTAAATAATTTAGCTGCTTCTGTAATGCTACACACTCATCTAGTGTTGATATAGAACAATTAAGTCATCAGCAAAAATCAATAAGTATACATATATAAAATAATGTAGATGTTCTTCTCTTTAGATAAAATTGTTACTTCAATAGCATTATGCGATAACTATATAACTATTCACTTTTATACGGCATATATTTTGCTAGTTGTAACTTTTTAAAATAAAACCTAATTACCCATACAGCACACATTATTTCAAAAATATTTCAGAAATATTTCAAACGTTTCACACATATAACATTTCAAGCACAAGTTTCCGAAATATTTTAGTTAAATATTTCACTGAAAATGTTTCTGAAACATGGTATACGTTACACAAAAGGTTACTAAACGGGTTATGTTGTAAAAGGCCAACAATTAATGAAGAATTTCTGATTTGTAAGAAGAAGATGGAATATGTAGTTATTTTATTTCATCATATGCCCATGTCCAGCCACCAGCTAGAAACAACTTAAGTAGCACCAAACAGTTTTATTCAGTACTTCAAGGGTGCTTTAAAACTGTAAAATAAAACTGCAATTAAAACCAATTAGTTTTAAAAGGAGCCTTAAGGTTGTAATAAATACGCCTTCAGCATAGAATGGCATACTCTGAAAGAGGTCAATAAAACCAAAAATAAAAACCACCATAAAACTATATTACCTTGAACAACTCATTTTAAAGCTGCTGTGAAGACCACTTTAAATACATTTTAAACACACGCGGCTCTGAAGTGGACTTAATAATGTTAGTTACATGTATACTTTTAAAGATAATTTATCTTATTGTTAACATAGTTTTTTAAAACTATATACATAATTCTTTTAGCAAATAAAAGCAATTTATATTTGAGGATGATAATATGGTGACGATCTAGCCATGAACTATGAAATAATAAAAAGTAAGGTAGTGATTTCAGAATGTCAGGCTAGAAATATATACTGCGCACCCGACTTTATCGATAAATGTTAACGAAAAAGTCTTAAAAAACTTAGGAGCCTTAAAATTTCTGAAGTTTTATAATCCAAAAACACAAAATTGAGAAACATAAATTAGAAAGAAAAACAATTTTATCTATTATTTTAGATTATTTTTGTATTAAAAGAAATCGAAATTATACGTTTAAATGGTTAACTTGTCGTTTTTATGCAGGCCTAAATATTTTTATCTATCATGGCTTGCACCATCTCGAGAAAGTAAAATGGCCGGAAATTAAATATAACCGTTTAGTTAATGGACAAAGAAACGTTAAGATCAAAGGGTTTTATTTAATCGATGTTTATACTGTTTCAAGAGCATATACCCTAGACAATAGAGTTTGTGTTTTGTGTATTTTTAGATTAATAATAATAATATATTGTTTTCAGTTTTTCTAATTATTGTAGGTAAACCCCTGTTTGACATGACATGACACGTAAAAATAGGAGATGAGTTTAATTTTATTGTTTCTAACAAGAAGTACAGTTAGTCTTTACGATAACCAAATTGATTTAGTTAAGAGTGTTCCGTTTTAATATAGCTATCTACTTGTATTTAAGAAAGCCGTTATAAGGAAAAGTAATGAAATAGTTTTAAAACGCAATATTTACTGACCAGATTGTCCTAAGATCAAGCAGACTTAATAATAGGTTTTATTAGTTATATTAGGAATCTCTTTAAAACTACTTAAAAACTTCACAATCTAGAACATAATAAGACCAAACAACCTGCAAGTCCTTCATAAAACTAAGTAGTTATAAAGTTAATTGAAACTAAACCATTTTAAAACTACAACAAGCTATACAAACTTTTAAGATTAATTGGTCTTATAAGCGAATCTTATTATACTTTAAAACCAGTATTAAATACTAAACAACTTTTAAGTGCCCGCAGTATATCTACAAGGTAACTTTAAAACCAGTATCTTCTTATTTACCACATTAAAACCATTTTAAAACTGAAATTAACCCAAAATGTTTTTATGGTGCTACTTGGGAAGTTAGGTATAAATAAAATTGCTAATTGATCTTAATGATTAAATTATAATAATCGTAAATGTTTCTTTACTTAGAGCATTTATTAAAAAAAACTCTAGTCGTTTCAAATTAGTGCATTTAAAGGAATTGGTGGAAATGAAACATCTCGCTTCTATATTTTATAAAATATTCTTTAAAACATATTTATTTATTTGTTTGTTTAAGAATCAATGTTTGAGTTTTGTGTATTTTAAATAAACATGTTTATTTTTAAATGTCTCTTTTTCAGTCTAATAATATATGTATTAGAAAAAAAAACTAGAATACATTTCTGAAAAATTACTATTTAATATTTCTAAATGATTTCAAATTTTCATTTCAGAAATATTACTGTGAAATGGGTAATCTTGTAGTTGACGGGTCTAGAAATGCGGATATACGCTAGTTTTGTGTGATGTCATTTTGGTTCAACTGACATTTAATTCTAACCAAACTTTTAACAAAAACCTCAATAAATTTGACATATACGTTTTTACTGTTTTTAGTTTATTCCTTAATATTGTTTACAGGTCATATAAAATAGTTCAAAAGTATGTAATTGGTAACTAAACGATTGTATATTTGATGCATGTTATCTACGTACTTTAGGAACATATTTATAAAAGTGAAAAAACGATATAATTTAGGTAAACAAAACGAATAGAACGCACTCAAAAAATCTAGTGTCACTTTAATTGTCAGTGGAACCATAATTACATCATCACTGAACTAGCGTATTCACAACAATCTGCACTGACATCTAGAATTTGAATTTGACATAAATTTAAATTTTCAGAACATTTTTTTATTTTTATGGGATTTTTAATCGATGTAAAAATTGGTAAATAGATGATTAAAAGTAAAATAGTTATTTCAATGTACAATATACTTATTCCCTAGTTCCAAATAATTAAATATAACCTGGCAAATATATGTAAAGATTCCAACTGTCAGAACTAGAGGAACAGGACTCTTCCTCAACTATAAGATTACAGATTACCCATAAATGTTTCTGGGATGTTTCGTAATATTTATACAACATTGTTGAAATATTTCCGAAATGTGTTTGTGCTGTATGGGTAATGCTAAAATAACCTCTAGTGTAGTGCTTGTGAAACAAACAAGAAATAATTTTTTGTGACTATGATGTTTGTAGGCGAATGTTACATATAAAACGAATAAGAGAGTTCAACACCATACTTTTTCTATGGTTAGATTACCTACTAGTAATTAAAATAATAAATTGTATTTATTATTATTATTTTTGCTTAGTCGACTTGGCAACACCGATCCAGTTGCGCCCTAGGCCTCTCGCTCAGTCCCTCTCTCGAGTTCTGGTCTTGTCAGATGTCAGTGAGTGAGAGGCCAGTGCAACGAGCAGACCGCGCTAGGCAGTTTGTCCCATGGCGGTGACAGCAGCACCAGCCACCAGTAGGCGCCTGTGTTGCTCGAGAGCCGCGATTTTAGGGGGTTCGCCGTCGTTGCTCGTGCCCCCCGCTCAGGGGCCGCGCACCCCCGACTCCTTGTTGGACGTCACCGCGAAAACCGTGGCCGAAACGATCCCTTTTCAAAGGATCGAAGAGCGCTATGACAGGATACCGGAGCCCGTGCAACGGAGGATCATCTTTTGGTCCTTCCCGAGGAACGAAAGGGACATTTGTATGTATTCGTCGCTGTCTAGAGTGCCGCCGTCGCCTTCTAGTGCTGTGAACGGGGGTGGTAGTAGTAGTGGTGGTGGGCAACCGCCGCATCATGGGCCCGAATCGCAGAATTTGTCCTTTTGCAAGGGATTAAAGTTGTTGGAGACCGGGTGTGTGGATAACGTGCTACAAGTTGGTAAGTTAGATATTCGTCTTTTGTTTACCAAGTTCTACACTGCCGTCCCAACAAGAAAAATCATATCTACAAATTTGTTATTTCGAGTTTTTAACTATTTTTGGCAGACATCTATGATGTGCTGAACGTTTGTTTTGTAACTTGGCAAATAAAGTTTTAATTTGCTTATTCTGTAGCTACGTTTTCGATAAAATCGGTAGTTGGGACAAGTTGTTTATATACAGGTAGGTACTTAGTTTTTTTTAATGTGCTTACACAATACATCCCATGGGCGGCTCGTGGAAAGGGGCTGCATGGCTCCCCGATATAAAAATCTTACAATCTATGAATCTTTTATTTTAAATATGCTAATGACAATGGCCCCCTCCGAAAATTCACCCTAGATTCGTCCTTGAATACGTCTAAAATTATAAACTATCTGCATTAAAAACAATGATAGGCTCGACATAAAAACTAATCATAATATTTATTATATAGTTAGAAACACAATCTATAAAACGAAAGAGTTATGCCATTGCGTTCAACTGAACGAATATATTTCATATCCGTTCTACATATCTACCTAGTAAGAACACTGCAAAAAGATGAAATCCGTATCACAGTTTTTGTCACCCGGCTATTATTTTTTTAAATTTTAAATAAGTGACAACTCTGTCAAACTAATTGTCAATATATTTTTTAATTAATGAGATTAAATATACATTAAAATGAGTTATTATTATGTAGAATCGATAAATAATGGTATTTCTATTTTTTTATTTCGTCTATATTTACCAATAAACCAGAAATATTGATAAAACTACCTACAGATAGGTAGGTAAAGTTAGTATAAAGGGTAGTTTTGTTTATTTAGGAAAAAACTTTTAGAATATTTTAGTACCTATACGATATATTTAGTTTTGGTACCATGTAAGAGAAGATATAGGGACAAAGAAAAAGAGTAAAAATTTTCCAATTTTGTTAAAACGGCAGTACAGGTATAACACTCAATTATAGGAGTATCTACAATAGATAAATATCATACAGCATATCAAAAATGTTTACAGACAAAAGCAGAAAAAAAAAGTTAGGTACCTAGGTACTTAAAAGTTACAAATAGTTAAAACAAAATCTTTCTGTGCTTAATTCACAAATATTTAATCAACGTTTTACTTTGGAAGGTTGATCAGTGGCACAACTAAAAAATGAACGTTATGAAGAAAAATCTGATGTGTCCAACACATGCCTTTCCTATCTAGTTATTACAGGCTTTTTCCGGTTATTTTGTGCAGCACCTCTATAAATGTTTAAGAGGATAAACTAAATATATACATTTTCCGCATACATCTAACTTGAAACATTTTTCATTATATATTCATTGAAACCGAAAATAGTGAAAAATTTAAATTTTACACTTTTGCTCCAATTTTTCCATTACGGTTCATTTTAGAAAAATTATGTAAAATACAAAAATCATAGAGATCCATATCACAAACAATTTTCTTAAAAATCAGAATTTTGTACATTTTGTCAAATTTCTCGAATACGGACCATTTCAGGAAAATTTGGCATAAAGCAAAAATTATAGATAATAATAGAAGTAACTTTTATTTAAAGAATTTTCTTTTCCAAATGAATTAACAGATATATTCCATAAAATGTAAAAACGACCCCCTATCAAAGTACCCCCGCAGATGTTCTGACTCTGTCCAAAATCTAATCAGTTCACCTCAGGCCGGTACATTTTAGGGAAATTATGTGTAGAATAAAAATTATAGATAATATTATAAGTAACTTTTATTTAAAGAATTTTCATCTCCAAACGTAAGTAACAGATATATTCCATAAAATATAATAATGACCACCTATAAAGTACCCCCCCCCCCCCCCAGATGTTTCGACTCTGCTCAAAATCTAATCAGTTCACCGTATGCCGGAATAAAGCTTAAGTTTAACATTTGGTGTTTTTCTTGATATTCGTTCATGAGTTATGGTGGATACAGACACACACACAGACATCATCGCGAAAATAGTCAAAACGAATTCAGGGAACTCCAAAACGTAAAAATCCGTCGAAAACTGGAGGTCGAAAAATCATGATTCCTATACTTTCCTTATCTGTATACAGAAAAGTAAAAAAAGTTAAGTAGGTACCTACTTCAAAGTTACAAATATCGACAAAAGTGGCACAACCACAGCTTAAAGAATATTATATTTTTTAAGCTGTGGCACAACTAACAAATAAACGTTATGAAGAAAAATCAGTATTAAAATTTTAACTATTTCAATGTTCATGTATTCAAATGTCACTTGAATAGTAATAACGAGCTTGGCTGTGATGACATTGAGTTTTTGGGCACCAAATTTTTGTAGCATGTTAATTTTGTCTTTTCACAAAAGGTGATATTTGAGAGATATGCCTCTATTGTTTAATCTAAGTGTTACAGTTTATATAACAATACAGCTGTTAATTATTTTGGCACATTTTGCGAAATTCATCAAAAATGAGAAGTATACCTATAGTGCCATAACTCAAAATATGCCACTAATGCTTAAACAAAGCGTTGCTTATCTACTCATTTGTATCGCTACTGCTCACACACGACGACTCGAACCTGACACAGAGACATTAATCTATGGTTAGAGGCATATTAAAAATATGTCATTTTTGATTTAGTTGGCGGAATATATATTATGCCATAGTGATGCATTCGTCATATTGGGCGAAATAGTTTCAACTATTTTTACGCCAGTCCTTGTTTGATGAAATTATAACGAATATTAAATAGAATGCAAGTATTTCAAGGAAATTTGCATTTGTTGAGATATGCCACTATTGCCGCCGGTGAGCAAAATATTATTAACATTTAATTATATTTAAGGAAACATTTTGTCGCTCATCCCGTTTTTAAAATAAACCCAGTTACCAAATGCTACTACCAATTACGAAAACGAGCATAAATGACAATTTTTTTTATGGATAATTTGTCGTGGAAGAAAAATTGTGTCGCTCATTCCTTTTTTGAAATAAACCCCAGTAAATTGTAATTTTGATTGAAAGTTAGCACTACCAATTACGAAAATGGATTGCTACACAATATATATACTCGTGGGTTGCTATACAAAAAATTAGAAAAATAAAAAACGTACTAATTTCGTAATATAATGATGTCAATCTTATACCATTTCGATCATATAATATTTCAAAACTAAAATATACCTATGTTAACAGATGGAATGTTTCATACCTAATAAAATGTCTAAACTACTTTTTAAATGGTTTAATTATAAATACGTCTATTACTTGTTTTTCGAGATTTTTGTTTAATAGATGCAGTTACAACTTACTGATGGATACTAAAATATCCTTTTGGAGACAATCCATTTATATTTTCTACTTGAATTTCAGAAAATAGTAACACTCTTGTAATAAATTAAAAATTGTAAAACGTTGAATTCATTCCATATATCCCTCCCTCTATTTTAGCTAGTAATAATATAAATTAACTTTTCCAGTAAAATAAAGAAATCAATCTACGACACTGGCAAATTACAAGCGATCCACGATATTATTCAAAAATGTCGTCGGGTCGTGAGTATTACGAACCAAACAAAAAAAAAATGTCAAAACTAGCAACAAGTCAATTATCCGTAAAAGCTTAGCAAACATGTGGCGAATAATTATTTGTTGCAATTTGTTTTTCGTCAATGTTCAATTTCGTCGGTATTTGCGGTTTGAAATTCGGGATTAGTTGTTTATTATCGAAGCAGGCCACGATGCCAGCCCATTGGATGTTTCGATGTTTGTTACAAAATTCTGTGTTGATTGCACATCTAAAATATCCGCCAGGGGCGGCCCGGCCGAGGGAGTTTCGAGAAATATAAAAATTTTATTATATTTTGTTTCTGTTTGATCATGTAAACATCGTGCTATAATATCCCAAATTCGTATAAATCTATCTTTCCAATGCATTCACGTGTTGTTGTTAGCAGCAGTCTTGCCAGAAAATTCATAATCTTTGAATCTATATTTATTTTGTACTTTATTTCCCAAAGTTCTCGACGCAGAATTCAATTTTGTTATATATAATGTATCAAAAAATACAAGAAGAGGCAAATCAACAATTTATTTAAATGGCTTTGTTAATAAATATAACTGTAATCCTCATCTGTTTGTATTGTATAACCGTAACCCCCAGTTTCCAAAGATCAATCGCCTGGTATTCTTGGATCACTTTTATGGAGGAAAATCTGACGGGAGAATTGTACCTCCAATTATTAGAAGATGAAATTGATATACTTATTACTCATTAGACGAACAGAATATATTCCTTCAATAGGACAAATCTACACAATATTATGCAATAGCAATAAGATAATGACTAAACGAAGGATTTCCGAGGCATTGGATTGGTAGTAGGGGTTTTATAGAAAGGCCGGCAATATTTCCAGATCTAACGCCACTTGATTTTCAAATTATTGTTTAATTGTAGATAGTATATTAGTGTTTTGATATGTACTTATAGGAATTATTACCCAGAGCATGTAAATATGTGGGATGTGACTTGTTAAGTGCCTAATAAAAATAAAAATTTATGTTTGATACTTATTGCTCTTTTCGAGACATACTTTATTACCAATTGTAAACTAATTTACCAACAGCCTTATTTTTATTTAATACCGCAGTGATCCAAATTACCAATATATCTTATATTTTTGAAAATACTAAATTATACAAACAAGGCAATAAAAAAAAATGTCATTAAAATAAAAGATTTCAGGTTTGTATGCAACAAACAATCTAGGCTAGAGGGTAACACAATAGATAATTACAGGCAAACATAACTTTATATAAACTATTTAAATGTACATATACATACCATTTCTCATTGCGTATATTAAATTAGGTAACTGGTTGATCCATTTTTCCGATTCAGACTTTTTAAGTGAAAAATCATTTGTCTCTTTATCTTTATTAAACGTTTATTATACATTTTCATAATTATGTCAAGTAGTTATCT